AAAGAGAAAGAGAGAAGAGGAAGAAGAAGAACAATGAACGAAATACTTCCTGTTTTTTATATTATCTGAATGTAACCCTTAACCTTTTTAGAACAATTCAGTAAGCCAGTACCAGGTTCTTACCATGTAGAGGTGCACTCTGATATGCTTGATGAGCGGTGCAAGGTGTGCACAGAGGAGTTAGTCAATCGTGGTCGCTAGTGTGGGAGACAGATTCATAAATAGCGTATACATGGGCTCTCGGTTGCAAAATAGAGTGTGAACACACGTTGTTGTGATTTGGACGGTAGAGACTAATTCCAGTTTGAGAAATTTAGGAAAGTTAATTCAGGAAGCTGGGTTTCACTTCAAAAAAGAATATTGTTAGTAACAATACAAAAAAGACTGACAGCTCATCTCATAAGTATTCATGTTTTGCTTGGAAGTAAAAAAATAGGATAGGAAAGAAACGTAGAAGAGTATCTGTGTAATAATACTTCCTTAGGTTCAGAGAAAACAACCCGCATAGACTATGCATAATTAAAAGTTCAGAAAACAGCATTAAGGGTTAAGTAATGTTCTGATGAAAGTAGAACATTTGGCTTCAGAGTAAAGGTGATCTTGAAACAAACCACATACATTAATCCTAAGGCCTGTGTGGATTGTGGCAGGTAGAAATTTTCAAAGCCTCTTTAGAACGTTTAGAATTTCAGATGGACTTGAGTTGAGAGACAGGTGCTCCAAGAGTCCATTTGAACTGCATCATGACACCAGATGACTCATCTGAAGGAGGAACACACTTCTGTGAAAAATGTACATCTTACTTGAGATTTGGCCCATCCTCCTTTTCATTTGTTTGTTTCTGTTTTTTTTGTTTTGGTTTTTCGAGACAGGGTTTCTTTGTGTAGCTTTGCTCCTTTCCTGGATCTTGCTCTGTAGGCCAGGCTGGCCTTGAACTCACAAAGATCCGCCTGCCTCTGCCTCTGAATTCTGGGATTAAAGGCATCCTCCTTTTTATTTGTGTTAAGGAAGGGGAAATGGATAATAAGTCTACTGAGATCTTTGAGGAGTTGGATCATTGAATGTGAATTGGGTGAAATGGGTAACTATTGAAGAAGTTATGCCCTTAAAACTTGACTACAACTCAGAAATATATTTTACATTCCAGCACAGGCACAAACTTACTTTTCTTTAAGCAGTTTGTGACCCACAAAATTGGCTTTTTGTTTGATTATAAGGCCTGACACCGCCCCTGCCCTCTCCTTAAAAAATATTGCTTTTTAGGGCTAAGTATTAACTTCATTACTTCCTGTTCATTATATTCCTTGTACTGTGCTACGTTTTTACTTAGGGGAGGAAAAAAACAAGGCCTAGTTATAAGTTGAAAGCAGGAAAAATGAGTGTTTTATGTCATACTATGAAGGGGACACAAAAGTAAAAAGCTCTGACTTCTCAGGGAGCTTTATGCTCGTTAATGGAAGATGTCTGTACATATCCACTCCTCGTGTGTGCTCTGCTTTCATGGATTAAACCAACTAAAGATCAAAATTTATTTTTAGGGACTGGTGATGTTGCTAAGTTGGTAGAGTGCTTACTTGGCATGCATGAATCCCTGGAATCAGTGGCCAGACCTGCATAAACTGGGGTCTTGGCATATGCCTATAATCCCAACATTCAAAGTAGAGACAGGAGAATTAGACTTTCAAGGTCATCTCCTACAATTTAAGGAGCTTAAGGCCATCCTGAGACAAATGAGGCCACTCCCCTCTCTGGAAAAAAAAATGAGTTTTTTAAAAACTGCAGCTGTACTAAATTAGATAGAGACTTTTTCCTTGTCATTTTTTTCTTAACCTATACTGTATAACAACTGTGTGCATAATATTTACTTTGAACTAAGTATTATTAATCTAAAGATGATTTCAAGTGTATGGGGATGTGTGTGGGTGACATACCAATATAGCATTTTATTTTATAAGCTACTTGGCATCTGTAGATTTTGGTATTCTTGAGAGTTCTGGAATCCCTCCCCAGTGGATACTGAGGGACTTTATCAAAACATTAACAGTACAGCCCCACTTTGTTCCCAGGGGCCACCAAATGCCTGATCACAGTGGTTGATTTTAAAGTAAGAGGGTGAATCGAATTAATGGAAAAGCCTGAGAGATGATGGCAAAAGCTGGATGGCAACAGTCTGTTAGCCTAGGAGGAAACAGGGAGCCCTAAATTTGAGTAAAGCATTTAACCTAATCTGTTTGACTTAGTGTGTGTCTAAATTGAAGATCTTAGCTAAAACACTAAAGGGTCTCCCTTCCTGGTATTTGGCAGTAGTCAGTTTGAATACTTCTTACCACTTGTAGGTTCCTGAGCCGTATCTCAGACCTTTATTTAGTTCTAACTTGAGAACAGGATCCAGAGAATCTGCCTTCTTGTACCTGACTGTTCAAGCTGAACTTGGAACTCCTGGGCTCAAGTGGTCTTCAATCTCTGTCCGAGTTTCTGGCACTGCAGATGTGCCCCACTGCCTGGCTTTTTATTTGTATCCATAACATTAATTTGAAAATCACTCAGTGGAATAGAGCTATAAAGTTTATAAGCTTTTTTTTTTTTTTTTTTTTGGTTTTTCAAGACAGGGTTTCTCTGTGTAGCTTATAGGTGTGCGCCACCACCACCCGGCCTATAAGAACTTTTGTTTCTCTTCTTTTTGTTTCTTTACTTGATTTAGAGACAAGGTCTCACTGAGTAGCTCTGGCTGTCCTGCCTCAAATTCAGAAGTCCACGTGACTCTTACTCTGGAAGGCGGGATTAAAAGTGTGCACCACTGTATCTAGCTGACCTTTTTTTTAAGCTAGTTAGAGTGCCACATATTTGTATGTAATGTCAGTATTGAGGCTGGAGAATTAGCTGAGATTAAGGCTCGCCTGGTCTACATGCTGAAGTCCAGGCCATTTTGGACTATGGTGTGAGACAAGAAACAGTAAAGCTCTTTCTAGCCAGGCAGTAGTGCACCTAGGATGCACGCAGAGCCAAGGGTCTTGAGTTTGAGGTCACTCTCAGCTGTACAGCAAGACTGTCCGAAAGAATCTTTTTAGTTGAATCACTTATTCAGGTGGCTTCTGTGGTATAAACTGTTTCCTGAGCATTCTATATTTCAGGATATTTTACCTACATATAATTTTACTTTTATTGTTTCATTCCATTATTTAGTTTTCTCTTAAGTCATGCAATCCCTATTTTCAGAGTGACTTGTTTGTGTGAATGTATGCATGTGTGAGTGTAGAAGCTAGAATCAATGTTGGATATGATATCTTCTTCAATCAGTCTCCTCTTTCTTTCTGTCCTAAACATTTTATTATGTGTTTGAGTGTTTTGCCTGCACAGGTGTGCACACATTGACACAGAGGAGAGCAATGAGTCCCTTGGAACTGGAGTTAACAGATGGCTGTGAGCCATCATATTGGGTACTGGGAATTGAACCCCACTAGAGGAGCAGCAAGACTCTAAACTGCTCCTTCAGCACCCCCCCCCTTCTTTTTCTTAATAAGTTAATTTTCTTTTCTTTTTTTTTTATTTACTGGAGCTGAGGACCGAACCTAGGACCTTACGCTTGCTAGGCAAGCGTTCTACCACTGAGCTAAATCCTCAACCTCTTATTTTCATTTTTATACAATATATTTTGATCAATCCTTGCCCTTTCCAACCTCTTAGGTCCTACCCACCCAACTTCATATTCTCTTTCATTCTCTGTGCTCTCAAAAACAAAATAAGCCAGGCAGTGGTGGCGGGGTGGTGCACACCTTTAATCCCAGCACTCAGGAGGCAGAGGCAGGCAGACCTCTTGATCTCTGGATTTCAAGGCCAGCCTGGTCTACAGAGCGAGTTCCAGGCCAGCCAGGTCTATACAGAGAAGCCCTGTCTCAAAACAAAAAACAAAGAACAAAACAAAAACAGTAAGACATACCCACATACATACATACATATATACATACATACATACCAAAACAAAAGGTGCACGAAAAACCATGAGTCTGTTTTGTGCTGACCAACTACTCCTGAGCATGGAACCCGCCTTGGAATGTGGTTATTATACCTGGTAACACTCCACTGGAGAAAACTTTTATTTCTTACTATATTATTTTTTGCTTATTCTTTGAAACCTTCACATATGTATACAATGTATTTTGATTATACCCATACCTACTACTCTGATTCCCTCTAAGATGCCCCCAACCTCACATATGCTCTTTTTTTTTTTTTTTTTTCAGTGACCCATTGAGTCCAATTAGTGCTACTTTTATGTACAAAGGTACCAGGGTATGGAGCCATCCCATCCATCTTAATTTAGGTAACCTACTAGTGGACACACCCCAAGGCAAAATGACTCCTCTCCCAGCTGCTGTCAACTATTAATAACTGCTTAGCTTAGAATGATTCCTTGTGAATTTCTGCCCCATCCATGAGGGACTTTTGACTAGCTTGATCTTGGCAGCTGTTGGGCAGGTAACACAATTGCTGTTTGTTTTTGAGTACAGTAGCCATGTTGTGTCCAAAAGATGGCATTTCCAAGTGCTCATCCTCCAGCTCTTACGTTCTTTCCTCCCCATCTTCCACAGTGTTCTCTGAGCCTTGCGGGCATGGGGGTGGATGATATAGATATCCCATTTGGAGTTGAACATTCCTGTTGTTGTAATTGGTCATGAGTCACTTCATTAACTACTGCCCACTGCAGAAAGCTTCTGGCCAAGGTTGAGAGCAACACTGATCTATGGGCATAAACATACATTTTTAGAAAAGCAGTTTGGATATCATGTTCATTTAAGCACAGTAACAATAGTAGCTAGCCCCCCAGCGCCCCCTGCTGCCAGGGTTTTAACTAAATTGTCTTACTGGTTTTATGTTTTGATTTTCTTTGTTGTTTTTTTTTAATATTTATTTATTTATTATGTATACAGGAGAGGATGCCAGATCTCATTACAGATGGGTGTGAGTCACCATGTGGGTGCTGGGAATTGAACTCAGGACCTCTGGAAGAACAGTCGGTGCTCTTAACCTCTGAGCCATCTCTCCAGCCCTGTTTTGTTTTTAAGAGAGAGAGAAAAGGAGAAAGAACATGGGTTGTTTGGGTAGGGAGGTGGGGAGTATCTGGGAGGTTGGAAAGGGCAGGGAATGTGATCATTTTCCAGCTGTGGGCTTGGGATCAGGTTTAAAAAACCAAGCGTAAATTCTCCCCAATTGTTACCCCTTACCAATCATTCCACAGGGGCACCAATTAGCACACATTGCCTGGCAGGTGGGTATCGTAGCATGAAGGGTAGGTTGCTAGGTAAGATCATTGATATTTTTCCTCTCCCAGGGCTCTACACAGCACCTTTCACATTATAGAAAGCTAGTCAATGGGGAAATTCCCCAGATCGATATATGCCTGTCTTATGATATACCACAGGAACGTACCTGATTTCATGTGATTTTTCCATGTTCTGTAACCAGTGTTCCGCCTTGTTTTTTGAAACAGGGTCTCTCACTGAAAATGGAGCTTATCAGTTGACTAGCCTAGTTGGCCAGCAAGTTTCAGGGATCCCAGCCTGTCCGCACCCCAGTGTAGGAGTGACAGATACAAGTGGCTTTTATGTGGGCGCTAGGGAGCTGAACTCCTGTCCTCACGCCTTTATGGCTGGTACTTTAACAAGTGAGCCGTCTAACCAACACCCCAAGACTTAAAACTTTGTTTTTATTTGTAGAGTGGCTATATTGAGTCTTTTAAAAGATTTTTTTTTTCAACCTGTGTATTTTTAATATATCAGTTCGATTTTTATCCTCTGATAAAACCTTGCTTTTAGGTGTGAATTGCAGGTGCTCTATCTCCAAACCTGAGAGGAGGGGCATTTTTTTCTTTCCTTCATTCTTTTTCTCTTCTATTGGCATTTTTAAAAATCATCTTTTATGTGTTTTCCATCATGCTCCAGGTCAGTTCAGGTTTTAAATTTGATCTTTTAAATCTGAGTAATGATTTAGAAGATTGTAGGATTTTAGGTGAGTGATCTTTAACAGTTGTCACTTTGAGTTTCAGTTAGAAGCACATAAGAATTAACTTCAAAGAAAACTCAATTTAACTTTATTTAATATAGTTAACATTGCATAATTATTTAATATGCATTAACATTGAAGTCATAGCTGATGGTACTGGAATTTATTTCTGAATGAAGTTTGTCTAATATAAAGTTCAGTTGTGACCTTTTATAAATCACTTGTGAAGGCTAGTCCCACAGCATTTCCTCCTTTCTGTCTAATCAAAAAGGAAGGTTTTAACTTTAACATAGTAAAATTACATATAACAAAACAATTATCAAGCAAGAATTATAGTTACAATATTAAAGAAGATATCCTATCTGTCTTATATTTGTGAGTCTAAGGTTTTATATCTAACCCATCTTTTATCATAACTGAGGAAATTATAACTATAGTCTTCAACCACATCAAAGACCTCAGAAGGATATAATACTAACTGAGAAATGGGAGAAGAATGTAAGCAACTTTCAGGAGTCTTGTAGGATAGACAGAGACAGCTGGCAGCCTGGACAGTCATCTAAAGTTTTCTTGTAAAGTTGGGGCATCTGTCTTCAGCCCACAGGGCTAGAGTCTCTCAGTCATTTTGTGTGTGTGTGTGTGTGTGTGTGTGTGTGTGTGTGTAGTTACTTTTTTCAGCGTCCTGTAGAATGTCTGGCAGTTTCTTCTGCGAAGCAGGAACCTGAAGGACCATTTTGTCAAGCAGTTTAGTGGTTACCTTGGTCTTGTATGTCTAGTTGATCAAGCAGTTCAGGCAAGAACAGTTTCTTGCCCAAATGGCTATTTTTGTCAAGAATAAGATAAACTCCATATAGAGTGTCTTTGCCCATCCTTTTTTCTGAAGTAAATCCTGTGCTGCCAGGAGCAGACATGTCTCACTGTCCAGAAAGTTTAAATTAAAAAAAATTTTAAATGTCATATTCTGTAGGTCTTTGAAGTATTTGAAGATTACTTATCTATCTGAAATATATCTATATATACTTAGAAGACTTAACTAACATGGCCACAAGTATGATTATCATAGATGACTATTAATTTATTTTTTAATTATCCATTACAATTTTAAATGAGTTGTACAAACATGATACCTTAAGCAAGAATAGAAATATACACACAGTATAACAAAATTAACTTTAAATTTGTATCAGTAAACTAAAATTTATACCAATGTAAAACATTTTAAGCAAAGTTGTTGTTCTTTAAAATAGGTTCAGCAAGCCTATACTATTTTTAGCCCTGGAGAAAAAATGTTTACCTATTAGTTGTAATTTGTTGACTTCTGAAAGAATTTATGTCTGGAGCATTGGGTCTGTTGCATGTCCAGGACCTTTTGACTACCAGGTCTTAACTTATAACTTATTTTGAGATTGCTAGTATAAAAATGACCATAAGTCATTGTATTATCGAGTACTTGAATATGAGGTTAGGGCACATGGGCATCATGCCTTTGAAGAGGAAGGGACAATAGAAGTGAAGAAACTGTTTCTTGAACAGGTATGTTTTCATGTGCTCCCGTTTGATATATTCTAACAAGAGCCCTGGAAGATAGGTACACAGTTTCCCATACTGACACATCATGAAATTAAGGGTGAAGTCAAGAAAATTGCTTTAAAAATCAGTGATTGGGACTCATAAGAAAGCTCAGTGGATAAAAGTGCTTGCTGCTAACCCAGTGAGCTTTGCTCAGTTGCCAGAATCTGCACAGTATAAGTAGAGAACCAGTATAAGTAGAGAACAAGAAGTTGTCCTCTAACATCTACATGCACTCTGTGGCACAAATGTGAAAATTTTTTAAGTCACAGGGATTAACTGTAGCTGTTGCATCTTGTCCTAGTTAAGGTTTCTATTGCTATGAAGAGACATCATGACCACGGCAACACTTACAAGGAAAACAATTAATGGGGTGGCTTACAGTTCAGAGGTTTAGTCCATTGTCATCATGGTGTGACATGGTGGCATATAGGAAGACATGGTAAAGATTTTTCAGTTACATAGGAAAGTGGGGCAGGCTAAGTGCAATGGCACATGGCCTTTAATCCTAGCCCTCCAGAGGCTAGAGGCCAACCTGGTCTGTATAGCAAGAGCCAGCAAGAGCTCCTTGCTGTATGAGACCTTTTCTTGTGGGAAGGATAAGTAGAGGAAGAGGAAGGAAGGAAAGGTCAACCACAGGAAATGAGACCAGTTAAGTTTGGCTAGAGATGACAGTTAATATGAACTGAAAATAGTCTATGATAGTTGGATGTGGTGGCTTTTCCATATAGGCTTAGCTTCTTGGGAGGCTGAAGCAGGAAGTTTGCTTAAACCCAAGAGTTTGAGGCCAATTTGAACAACTCAATGAGATATTGTTTCCATTTTAAAAGAAAAGGGAGGGCCAGGCAGTTGTGGCACATACCTTTAATCCCAGCACTTGGGAGACAGGGACAAGCTGATCTCTGTGAGTTTGATGCCAGCCTGGTTTACAGAGGGAGTTCCAGGATAGCCAGGGCTACACAGAGAAAGCCTATGTCAAAAAACTGAAAAGTAAGAAGGAAGGAAGGCAGAAAAAGGAGGTCAAACTAGTAGCACACTCTTGAAATCCCACACCTCAAAAGATGAGTGAGAAAAATAGTGAGTTTGAGGCTAGCCTGGGCAACATAGCAAGATTTCACCTCAAAAACAAAAGACAAGAATTAAAAGAACTAGTATATGAGAATAGCAAGTAAGACTGAGGTTGGGAAGTAAAACCAGCTGGTTCTGAGTACCTGATGTGGAAGTCTCTAAGTCTCATTTACCTTCTGAAATTTCTTACCTTTAACCAAAGAGCAGTCAAAACAGCACAGAAGAAAGAAAACCAGATCAAGAGTGAGGAAACCTGGTTTGGCTTTCACTGTCCTATTTTAACAGGCTGCTTAAGATCCAGCAGATTAAATGTTGATTAATTAGACATTTATGCAGCTAAGAAAACAGCTTTTGTTTTGACTTCCTGCCACAAATCTTTGGAAAACTTACAAATTGAGTTTTAAAATGAAAATGGTCTCTCTTCCCAGCTTCATTAGCTTGATATTTTTAAACATTTATTTGTATTTTATGTGTATGAGTTTTACATGTGTACATGCAGGTCCATCATGTGTGTATCTGTGTCTGAGTCTGTGTCTGTCTGTCTGGAAGGACGGACGAGGGTATCAGATTCCCTGGAAGTGGAGTTATGGTTGTAAGCCATGTGTGTGATGGAAACCAAACCTCAGTTCTCTGCAAGAGCAGCAAATGTTCTTAACCACTGAGCCATCTCTCCAGCTCCTGTTTGATTTTTGGTTTTTCAAGACAGGATTTTTTTGTGTAGTCCTGGCTGGACTTGAACTCAGAGATCCACCTGCCTGTGCCACCACTGCACAGCTTGCTGCTTGATTATTTGTAAAAATGCATGTAAAATCACTTTATAGACACTTAAAATTTTTAAATCGATTTTTTTCATATGATATATTCTGATTCTGATTTCCCCTCTCTCAACTCCTCCCAGACCCCCCCCCCCCCCC